AGAGCTACTAACTAACATCAATGTCATGAAAGAATTCTACTGGGAACAACTGGATCATTTGAACATCAAAATCAAAGAACTTTGTCCAAAAATTGACAGTCTGATATCATCATCATAGTGTCCAGCATATAGAGCAACGATGGCCTTAAAATTGGCCAGTGTGGGTTTGGAGGTTCTACCCCATCCATCTTACAGCCCAGACTTGGCACCAAATGATTATTGTCTATTTCATGCCCTGCAGAACTCTGTTGTCAATATAGTTCTGCAGGGCAATTTAGTTTAATGTCAATACCAATTACTCAAGACTTTCTTCAAAGAAAAACCCATCATTCTGTGCTTACAGGATTGAAAGTTTGCAGCAAAGATGGCAAGATGTAATTGATATTGACAGTGATTACCTACAAGACTGAACTGTAACAGTAAATTGAAACAGTGTGATGAGAGAGTGAGATGACAGTGATATTGCATTTCTTACTGAAATGCAATATATTGTTGCATTTGAACAAACTCATCTTAACTCTACAAAAGTAAATCTTAGATAATCTATCTATCAATGATAGTAATACAGAAAATAAAAATATAATAAACAAGGTGTGTAGAGCAGATTAGCAAAATATATTAAATAGTAAATGATACTTTTGGCAGTAGGTACAGGTACACTCTGATGCATGTTTGTTAATAAAGGAGTGAGTATACATCCAATATATATACAGTAGAACCTCCATTATCCGGACCTCCATTATCCGGATTTTCGATTATCTGGATTGTTCAAAATAAACAAAAATTTTATGAATTTGCTGATTTGCACTTGGCGAATTACGACACTGTTTATATACGTGATGGAATTCATAACTTTTTTTGTTTCAACAACGTCTTATCCAGCACAGTGGTCGTAAACTCTTAAATATATTTTACGTAGTAATAAAAATATAACTTGACATACGTATTTATAAATAATTTATATTCAAATTACATCATTTCTATGACCAAGGGCATCGTAAGGCATGGACGATGTGGGCCACCTCCTATGCCTCGCACCTCTAAGGTTTATGCATTACTTAAAAGCTGCAAACGCGACAAAAAAATTTTACTCTTCATAAAACGATAAATAGTTTATTAAATTTTTATTCATAAAAATGCAGTTTCAACTACTTTTTATTTTATAAAATCCGTCTTCTTGCGCCACCAGAGGGCCTTTTAAACAATAGGTACTGTTACCATTGGTAAGTAGTAGTCCAAATTCAATATGAACGTTTGTTTCTTGAAAATTTGATCACGATTTAAATACAGTAGTATTTACTTTTAATGTTACCGATATGTCATCAAAAAGAAAACGTGTTGTATTATCATTAAAAGACAAAGTATTTGTTTCGATTATCCGGATTTTTCCTTATCCGGACTACCTTCATCCCCAATTAGACCAGATAATCGAGGTTCTACTGTGTATACATATATATATATATAGACAAAATCAAACCATTCTGATTATTAACTCTCATCCAAATGTATTTAAAAATTCGTGTGTGTGGAAATATTAAAAGTATGCAGTGTTTGAAACCCTATATTTTTTATGACTGTTGAATTTTGTAGCTATTGTAGCAGCATATGTATTAATTACATTTTTTACATGTACAGTACTTCTGGTTTTTATACCTTCTTTTTGTGTACAATATATACAACATTCATCCACCTCATACACATCTATATTGGCTAGCAAATTTCTTAGATCTCAGCAGATATTCCAGCAAAATCTGAGCAACTTTGTCAAAGAGCTGTAGATACAATTTTTATTTCTGTATGTCAATGAATTTTTCTTAAGTAAGATTTTCCCAGTGTTTTCAACAATATAATTACTTCTGAGATTCCAAAGGCAGAGTTTTTACAGACAAAAAATGCTTTGAGCATCTGATCTTTATTAATCTATGTTTCAGAAAAAAGTTACCAAAACAAAATAAAAATAGAACATTCTAATACAGACGTGAAAAAGCAGGAAAAAAGTGTTTATATATAGTATGCAAACTGTATAAAATTAAATTAAAACTAAAACTTTTGATACTATGTAAGAAAGCCAAAACCACAATGGGAAGGTGGTGTCAAATGTATTTTAACATTTTTCTATTAATTGTAAATAGATGCCTAAATATTTAAGCAATCACATGGGACTACTTGGAACAGAGTTGAAATGTACACAAAATTTAGTTTTATGCCATATCTGCTAACATGTAACTACACATAACACTGTATTGCATTATTAAAAAATTTTATAAATTGAAATTTTCTTTTCTTTTTCTCCTCCAAATCCACAAATTTTCAAACTGAAATACTAATGTCAAAATATATTTTCAAAAATATTTTCTATTTATGTTTAGTCATATCATCTGAAATGTGTCTATCAAACCTGAAGTCCAAATAGCATAAATTTTATGTCACAAAACTACGACTTCAGTTTATGGCTGAAATTTATTTATTTAAACAAACAACACACATTACTGTATATACAAACATAAATGCTAAAATAATAATCTTTAAAAAATAAAAAATACTGAAAAACAAAATTCCAGAAAAAGTGTTCATATTATTAATGAATTTTTTAATCAAGATATTTATTAAGCATAACATTATACATAAACACAACTCAACTACACCTTAAGTTGCTGAGAAAAATTTATTTAAATGTAACTAACATTTTTGGCCTATTAGATAGACCATCCTCAGGTTAAATGAGAAAAAATAACAGTGTTCTAAAAAATAGAACATATAATTTCAAATACAAAAATAATGGAAGATACGAACACAACAAATTCAAATACAAAATTAACGAAAGAATTATAACAATATATACATGTATAAATATAAAATAATAATCAGATATTATACTATACATCACGTAATAATACTATATATAAAATACCAAAAATGTAAAAAACTAAGGTATAAGTTAGGAGTTCTTAAAAAGCTTTTTAACTAAGTATACTTCCACACAGATGGTAGCCCTTCTGAGTCCCTTGCATTAATGCACATATCCTATAGCTTGCCCTTATAAATTTCACGCAGTAGTGAGACTTGTTCTTTAAAGTCTCATTACTGCATTATCTTTTCCATATAAATTGTCAGAATCCAAGGGCAGGGGACCAACTTTTATCCTGGAAAAACAGTTACATAAATTTCTCACCTCTCAGCTTGAGAATAGTATATTGGTGACACAGGATCTCAGAGTTGTGATTAAAGAGGTAGAAGATCTAGTGTTAAGGGATGATGAGGTGGGAACTGTATTGGACTATGAAAGCTTATATCCTTCTATTAAAATCAAATCCTGCATGGAAGCACTTTTAGAATTCATGCTCAACAAGAACTCAAATTTAGTTCATTAGACTAATGAGGTGGTAGAGCACAATAAAGGTGAATCATGTTTCACCTTTAATGGTCAACCATACAGGCAAAAAAGAGTAGTCCCAATGGGAAATCCAGTATCAGGAATATTATGCAAGCTGGTGGTGAGAAAACTAGAAGAAAATGTTCTTTGTGATTTCAAGAATAATATAGTATGTTTTAAAAGATATTTAGGCAATGTCTTTTTACTATGGAGGAATGACCAAAAAATTAATAAATTTATTGGTAAGATCAATAACAACAATGACAGCCTTAAGTTGAACAGAAAGATTGAACAGAAAGGTTCCTCAAGGATACATTTTTCAGACATAAATATTGAATCCAAAGAAGGGAATTTTGTCACTAGTGTGTACATCAAACTGACATATAGCCCACTTTACATCCTGTCACACTTGAATGATCCTTACCGATATAAACTGGCTGCGTTCCAAGCTCTCATTAGAAGAGCCTTTCTGTATTGTAATAGTGTAGTAGATGGACAGATTGAGATCAACATAATATTGCAGGTAGCCAGAACTCTAGGATACAGAGCAGATACGATAAAAGGAATGATTATAAGCTATAAAATAGACACAGCAAAGACTCTGTGCAGCGATATCGGTAAAATCACAAAGTTCATGTACAATAGAAATATAAAAGCCATCATGAAAAAACTTTAGACCAAAAAAAGTCCAAAATGATTTTGAAAAGTGTTCTGAACATCTATAAGATATTAAGGAATGACAAGGACAACATTAATAAAATAGGAAAAGCAGGAGTGTACAGGATTCCTTACAAAAACATGCAATTAGGAATCAAGAAAAACTATATTAATGTTACTACAAGAAATTTGGGAATTACAATGAAGGAGCACAAATATAATGTCAATAATGGATCCTATGCCACAGTATATTCTCAGATGGCGCAGACTGAAGGTTCCATAGTAAAATGGAAGGAAGCAGATATTGTTAAGTCCTTACACTACCCAACTTTAGTCATGAGTGCAGAAAAGATTGAAATTTATAAGGACAAGCTACAGGTATCCTGTAGCTTGCAGTAGTTGCTGTTCTTGTAGTCCTTATAAATTTCATTAATAACATGCATTAATTGAAGAAATGCAGGACTTTCATCTGCTTGGAAGAACTTAGTTAAAAAGCTTTTTAAGAACTCCTAACTTATACCTTAGTTTTTACATTTTTGATATTTTATATATGGTATTATTACATGATGTATAATATAATATTTGAGTATTATTTTATTTTATATTTATACATGTATATATATATATATATTTTGTTTTAATTCTTTTGTTAATTTTGTATTTGAATTTGTTGTGTTCGTATCTTCCATTATTTTTGTATTTGAAATTATATATTCTATTTTCAGAACACTGTTATTTTTTCTCATTTAACCTGAGGATGGCCTATCTTAAATGTAACTAATGTTTTTGGCCTATTAGGCCAAAAATGTTAGTTACATTTAATTAATTAATTAAACATACCTTTCTCAGCAACTTAAGGTGTAGTTGAGTTGTCTACTGTTTGCTAAGTGAGTTGTGGTAACTATTATACATAAAATAAACTTGTTTAAAATCTAACTTTACAGAACTTATATTTAATAATATTTAATACCTTTGTTTTCGACTTCGAACTGGTCGCGGTGGATCACTTAATGGATCTTTAAATATATCTACAAATATAGGCTTAAATTTCTTGAATATCACAGTTGAAACATTAAAATTTCTTTCTAATCTATCTACTTTGTTCCTCATATCTTGTGATAGATTTGCCATATCTGCCCATTTCTTCATTTTACTGAAGAACTGTACTAAACTGTAAAATGCAAATTAATAAAATTATTAATAAAAATAATCTAAATACATTAAGTAATCTAACTTTTTTTTTATCGGAAGATACTACTTTCTACCCAATACACTATATAATATAATACTGTAATATATAAATAACTGATATTAATTTTTAAAAAAACAATTATTAGACAAATTTTAAAATATTTTTTATCTTAATATTTGTCATCTGTTGAAGTGTTAGTTAAATTCATTACTATAAAAAAATGAATAATTCAAACCAGTGATGTCAGAAAAATTGATTTGCTATTTGACAGATCATTTCAGAAATATCCTTTAGAAATGTCCCGATTTGTGAAACTTTGAAACAGCTTAAATGATTTAATATTAGCCAAAGCAAGTGCAGAAAAGAATCAGAATGGAATTGGTGCAAAAAATGACTAGTAGTGTTCCTCTATAAAAAAAAATTTGATATGAGAAAACTGAACAATTTCAAAAACTCAGCTGAAAATTATGAAGAAGCTATCAGAAAGTTGGCTTCAAAATTTGCTATTAGCAAATCCAACTACCCTACTAAATTGAAATCATTGAAAATCTTTTGCTGAAAAAGAAAAGCTCATAAAACAATGCCACAACAAGAAGCAAAGTAGAAAGTAAAGCTTGAAATTTTGATCCAGAACATACAGTAGAATGTCAATTATCCAAATGTCGATCAACCGAAACGTCAATTAACCGAAAGCTTTCCAGTCGGACTGTACCAGGACATATGTGTCATGCTGAATCAAATGTTTTTGATACTAGATTAACTTCTAAAAGTATAATTTTTTTTTGTTCTTATATTTTTCAATATATTTATTTTGTTTGTACAAAATAAAAAAATAATTTTTAATGATACAATAGCCATGATTATTATTTAAAAAAAAAAAATGCATTTATTTGAGAAAATTTGAATAAATAAAATCCATAAGCATCTTTCTCTTCGAGCACAGCAACACTATAACCAATCCAGCTGTATTTATAGAGAAAGTGTACTTACAGAAAGAATGATTAGAAAACAAAATGTATTAACTATAAATAGNGACATGCAACAGAGAAAAATTTCAACGTGGGATATATTAATATACTATTATTGGGATATACTAATATACAATATTAATAATGTATTTTTTCATACATATTTGGTTATCCAAAAAATTGATTTTCGAACAACCCCAGTCCCCAATTGATTCGGATAATCGACATTCTACTGTACTTCCAAAAAAACGAGCAAAGAGAAGTCATTATGGATGATGGAATAACCATGATATGATTGTGAACCAGATGATAATACTGTTTTATAAATCTGATTCTTCAAGAACTCCAGATAATATAATCTATCAGAATGGCAAAAAAAATTTCCTACAAAACTGTTTGGATTGCTATCAGCAAAAAAAGGTCATTGTAAGCCATATTTTCTTTCCTGATACTGGTTCCTAACAGCTAATAGCTACTCTAAGTGTATACATGAAAGAATTTTAACTGAACAGCTATGTCTTATTGACTCTCATCTCAAAGAAGAGTCCAATGTTATGTTCAGTGATGTATTTTCTCATAAAAGAAATCTGCCACCAAACATTTTACTCAATCTTTTAGATAGCTGCTATCATCTCTTCATCACTATCAAATCATTGTTCCCCTAAAAACCTTCATAAGTTCTGAAACAGATGCAAGTCAGAGAACAGTTTCCTTTGCCCACCCTATAATGCAAAAATTCAAAATTATAGAATGGATGATGGAAACTTCTCTGCAGAAGTGTTTCAACAGTTGGCTTATTAGAATAGCAGTGTAAATGGTTTTGTATTGTCATGAAGCACCCAATGCCAAGATCAGTAGATCTTATTTAATTTGAATAGCCATAGCCATCTCCTATGACAGCACATCTCTCCTAGTAGTGCTACATGGTACTCTGACACCAGTACAATGACAACATTCTGTAGCTAATTGTACTGCCTTTGATGTCATGCATTCCAGGGCTATTTACCAGCATGGTAATACCAGATCTCATGTGGTGAGAATTTCTGAACAATGTCTCTGTAGAGTTCATATCCTTCCAAGGCCAGCAGTCTCCAGATCTTTTGCTAATCAAGCATGTGTGGGAGATGCTAGAAAGGCAGTAACAACTGCAAAACAACTAGCAGAATCTATTACCACCAGAAAAGGTTTTACTAATGTGACCACTTTGTGTAAAGGAATTCTTTCCAGGAATTATTTCATCTCTTACTGGTCATTTACATCCCCTACTAATGTAGCATGTCAGATATTATTCTTTGAAGAAAAAGTACACAAACTAGAGTGGCTGTGACACCCCTTAGTAAATAAACACACACACCCTACATATTTCTTAGAAAAGGAAATGGCAAAATTTCTAAAATCCTTAATGTTCCACTCTGGTCTAGTTGTTACATCAGCCATTGAAACAAAAACGATAATCAACAAAGGTCTAGGTGCTTTACTATCAAACTCATATCAGTTTTTCAAGATTGATGTTGTTTCCCTATAGGTGCCATATTTCAAAACAATAATGTTGGCAAATGTGCTACTATTTAACAGTTTATCTAATCAGCAAGATTTAGAAATACGTGAAGCTCTATGCCTAATAACAGAAAACAATTATTTTTGTTTTAATAACCAAATTTATTTTCAAAAACAGAGTGCCAATGGGCTCTCCACTATCAGAGATACTTGCAGAGTTAATCATAAGAAATATTGAATTTAGTTTTTTCTGCACCTTTAGTAGTCCAGTATCCACTACTATACAGGGGGTGCAAAAGTAGGTATACAGATGAGAATCTGAAAAATACAAGTATTTGGTGTTCATTATTATTATTATTATTATTATCTTTTATTAGTTTGTATTCCTTATTTGTGATTTAATTTGTACATAAAAATTAATGTTTTTTCTTCGTATTTTCTCCCTGTAAGTTTTTTTTCCATAACAACAACTGTATACCTACTTTTGCATCCCCCTATATATTAAATATGTAGTTGATATATTAATAATGTGAGATGGAACTGATTTTGAACTTTTGCAGCTTATACAGCAATTATCCCAGATATTCACTTCATTCAATTTTACTGTAGAATAAGAAAAAGATGGTAGCATCAGTTTCCTAGATCTACACAAAATCACATGAAGTTTGTTTCAATGTATCTCACAAGTTTAATCTATATCCTCACATTATACCAGCCACTTCATTTCAACTGCCTACTATATAAATAATGCCATAGCTGCAGTTATTTTTAGAGCCTATATATTACTATCATTGCAACATTTGGTATGAAAAGAGTTACAATTTATTAATAGGGCAATGTGTAGGGTAGGATACACTTATGCAAAATTCAAGTGCATTCACACCCATGTGTGAAAATCCCTCTTCCCACCATCAAAATTAGAAATAATAAAAAAGATTGCATTTATATAAGTCTTTCCATCCTGTATATTGGGTCTGTGTACTTATGCATTGCCAGAAGAGTTCAAAAATCTGGATTTAACCTTCCAATAAAATCATAGCTACCCTTACATAGAATATTATGTAACAACAGGGACAAATTAACTACATTAGAAAAATCAAGCATATATTTAATTCCCTTAAAACACCAAAACAATGATGAAAAAGTAATATATATCAGGGCCACAAACAAAATTTTCCGTCCTAGTACAATGTGAAGACTGCAACTGTTTATTCATCTGAGAAACATTATTTATTGAGAAACTGGAGCCTTGTAATAGGCCCACACTAGAGCTCCCACAAATATGGGTTTCACTATTTAATAATTTTAAAAATTAAATCACAGCTGCCAATAATTTTCAATTATAGTTTGACTGTTAATTAAATGTATAAGTTTAATAGTGCACCATTTAAATTTAACACATGTATTCCAATTAATACAAATTAACATTAAACATTGAAAAATAACATGCCCACTCCAATTAGAACATATTAACTTTAATGTTCAAATTTATATCAATGTTCTAAAATTTGTTTTCCTTTCACCTGAAGAAGACAGACATTCTATACATGTCAAAAGTGCTTGTGAGATATTTTGTGTTTATTTTGGTGCTTTACTCGTCAAAACTTTATTAACGTCAAAAGACAGTAATCTTAAACTTTTAACTGAGGATGATTTGATAAAAGTAGAAAACTTTTTGAAAGAAAAATAAAGAATAAAAATTACCTTTTAAGTTAGAAGTTTGATCTGAGTTCATTTTTTTAAATTTTCAACTCAATTCAAAGCATTTTTGTTGTTGTTGTTGTTGTATGCAGTTTCCAGCAAACTTTAATAAATTTTTCTATTTGTGAAAATTTCTATGTAATTCAAAGGTAATTTTTAATATATATCTTACACAGTATTATTAATATGATTTCGGAGGTTGCAGAATGTATTAAATTACTTTAAAAAATAAAAAATAATTATATCATTTGATTTCAAGACATTTTGTATCTTTTAAAAATAATTAATTCTATTCTGGGATATCCCAGGAAACAATTCACTTTTTTCCCAAAATCCTGGGACAAGTAAAAGACCAGGAAATGAAAAACCCTAGTAGATAATAATAAGGGTTTATCACACCAGTGATAATAAGCACAAACATTCAGATATCAATGTAGTATTGATACATTTAATAAAACAAAAGGGGTATACATTAAAAATTGATTACATACATGTAAGTATGATTAATTAACATGAATAACCAAAAATAATGTACACCCCTTTTGTTTTATTAAATGTACTACATTGATACCTGAGTGTTTATGCTTATTATCACTGGCATGATAAGTCCTTATTATTATTATCTAATTCTTTGTAATAATTTCATAACTATTATTATTATTAATATAAAATGTAAACATGTTACTATATATTAACAGAAATTAAAATTTTTACATTTTTACCTTAATTTACATGATCGAAGCAATCGTGTTAACGAAACACAATTTCCCTCTATGTAAGATCCTCTGTCAACAGTTGGAACAGCACTTGCACGACATGCAACATATAATGCACAAGCAAGCCAATGTAATTGATCACCCTGTTATAAAGTATTAAAAATATTTATTGTTTAATTATTAATAGATAATTAAAATATATTCTGAAAAACTTTATTTTCAATAATTATTATAACAGAAAAAAATCAAAAAATTCTAGATTACAAGTAAATAATTTTGCATGAAATTATTATTTGAACTTTTTAATAATTAAAGAATTTATAACTTATAAATAAAAGCATTTCTGTCCATTGAGTAGTTAATATTTAACCATCAATCCACAAGGCTAGTGTCAGATATGATACTTGCATCATAATGTGTTGTCTGCACATTCACCAAGGCAATGTATGCTCTCCTAGTTTTTGGTATCATAAGGCAGTAGTTCGTTAACCTTTAGTTATTCTAAATGAGTAGCCTTAAGCCCTGGTCACACTATGCAATTTCCAACTGCGCAGGCGACTGCAACCATGATGGCTGTTCCCGTTAACTACTGTGTTTCCCCGAAAATAATACATCCGCAGAAAATAAGACCTAGCACAGATTTTGCTGAATTGCGAAATATAAGACCTCCCCCTGAAAGTAAGACCTAGCGAAGTTTTTTTTTTTAGTCGTAACGGTCATCAACAGATGGTTGAAAGTGGCCATTGGCTTTTTGAAAGTACAGCCACTGATTGGTCAGCAGACAATTACGCCACACGGCATAATTTGCATAAGGCTTGGGAATCACAGATTTGCATAACGTTACGGCTGGTGATGGCTAATTGGTCGGCCGGGAATCACGCCACATGACATTTGCATAGTGCTACTGTTTAGTAAGCACTAATTGGTCATCGAGTCCGATGTTGACGCTATAAAAAGGCGACAGTTCGACACACTGGATATACATCACTCTCGTCTAAGTTCGACTTGGGGAATTTTTTTGTTCAATAATAAATGTGAATTCTTCTTCCTGGAAAAAATAAGACATTCCCTTAAAATAAGACCTAGCGCATTTTTCAGAGCAAAAATTAATATAAGACACTGTCTTATTTTCGAGGAAACACGGTAGTAATCCCCCTCGAAAACCAATGCGACTGCAACCACAACTAGAAACAAAAAGTTTGTTCTACTTGCAATGATTGCAAACACGCATCCAGTCAACAAACACCTTTGTGCCATGTCATATGGTGACAACATTGAAAATAGTTCATCATCATGGCTGATAGCTAGAGGATTAATACTTTTACAGAATCAAGATTGATCAAGCTTATTTGGGCTCACGAATACTTGTGGGATTTTAATTCTTTGTTTTATCAAAGATTTTATCTTTTTGCGTATTCTCGCCAGCTCTATCAAAATAATCACCTTTTTTCTTTTATTCATTCCAGAAAAGGAACTGCTTGCTATTTTCATAAGAAAAGTGGCTAAAATTCCATAAATACTCTGAAGTAGAACATAAAATGTCAGCAAACTCACGAAAGTAGTCAAAAACAAGCTACTGTAATTTTATTGGTTTATTATAGGGTCACGTGCTTCCGAGTTGCAATGTCAACAAACAATGTGTGACCACGAGAAGATGTGCACAACTCGCGCTTGTTGCAGTTGCCTGCATGACTAGAAATCGCATAGTGTGACCAGGGCTTTACAATCTATCTAATTATTATTACTTTTTAAAATACATCTCTTTTTAAGTGATGAAATTTGTTCTCTGATTTTTCTGAATAATTTTGTATGGCTGTAATTCTGGTCAAAATTTAAAAAATATTTTGTTGAATGAACACACTTTATTAATTTAACCTTATTCTTCCAAAATACACACATTAACAGTCAAAAAAGCATAAAACAGGCAGTGTCGTAACCAATACTACCTTGTGAGATTTGTCCAAGCACATTTTGTACAGAGAAAGTTAATATAGTTTTTAATTTAGTATAACTTAGTATAGTATTTAATATTTTAATAATTTGACTTATAACTATATTTTAAAAATTCTAGGATCAAATCCTTCTTTTAATTCTTATGTAACATTTGAAAACAAGCATTATTATGAACATTTTATACACATGAACATTTGAAAACAGTCTTATATGCATTCCAAGATAGAACACTAACATTGGATAGAATTGATTTTTTAAGGAATTCTACCTGAGGAATGTCCTAGGTATTGACCAATAACATTAGTAACATAACAGTTTTCACAATTAAATGCAAAGCACAATAAGGTTTGTGAGTTTTATTTACATTATTATTATCCAAATATTATTATATCTCTTTTGGGATTATAAAAGTGCTTTTCTCCTAATAATATAAATTATACTTTAAACTAAATCCTGCAAATTTCTTAAAAATTCTTTCACTTTTTTTCTTATTTTGTGTTAAGGTTGAGGAAATTTTGCAAATAGAATATTGGTTATACCATGGAACACCCACAAAAAGGGAAAATCACAATAAAAGTTTACAGAAAAACAACATGTAACCCACTGTTTATACCATGGAACTTCCACAACTTGGCAAAATGAAAAATGAATTTACTTTATGTTAAAATGACCTCGTTTAACACTGTTTTGCTTAGCACTTTTTTGTCTAGGAACGCATCCCTCACATTAAGCAGGGTCTTACTGTATATATATTTTGTGTATAATGGTACAAGTACCATTATAGATTGTATTTATTTATATATGAGCCTGCACATATAGAAAAATTCAAAATTTATAATGTTCCAGAACAAATTTCGGTTTTAAAAATAAGAATCATTCAATTTTTATACAATATTTTCGTGTAATTTGCACCCCTCTTCAGGTTTTTTACATTTCTATAATTTGGTAAATTCAATTATTACAACGGTAAATTACTACAATAGTTATTTGGATATATTTATACAATAGTTAAGTAACCTGTTTTAAGTTTTAGATTGACATCTGCCCAGTGTTGATGTTATGTCCCCTAAGGCATTTTTAGACCGTTTCCCCTACATGCAAGAACCCAACAATATACATTGGCAAAACAGGAAGACAACTCGGTACCAGAATAAAAGAACATAAAGCAGCAATTAGACTTAATTATAACCAGTCACCATGGACAAATCACTGTAAGGAATTTGGATGCACAATAAATGAAAAAAGTATAAAAATTATCCATAAAGAAAAAGATAGTTATCTATGAAAATTCAAAGAGCACTTCGAAATCATTAACAAAAGCAAAACCATAAACCTAAATGATAGAATGGAGGTTGACAACGTGTGGGAGGAAATGGGAGGAGCTAATGGGAGAGAAAACAAAAAGAGGGGAAAACAGTCTAAAAATGCCTTAGGGGACATAACATCAACACTGGGCAGATGTCGATCTAAAACTTAAAACAGGTTAGTTAACTATTGTATAAATATATCCAAATAACTATTGTAGTAATTTACCATTGTAATAATTGAATTTACCAAATTATAGAAATGTAAAAAACCTGAAGAGGAGTGCAAATTACATGAAAATATTGCACCCGAAATGCATAGTAAATAAATAAATAAAGAATACGAATAAAAGCTTTTGTCTCTGATTAAATGCAGTCCAGGCAAAAAAAAACGGTGGTTATTTCTGTACAATTAACCCATGAAGTTTCATCAATTTTGAGGAAATATTTTTGAAAAATTGATTTTTAAAAGCAATATCTTTTTTCATATTAAAAATATCATTATTAAGATATTTAACTTACTATTACAATTCAATATTTATAATTTGTAATCTGATAATATAGCAAATATTTTGTTTGTTCCTATCTTTAAACTGCCATCAATCACTGAACCACTATATCAATATACGTAGCTGTTTTTTTTCAAGCTCTGATGGTCCATAAAACAAAGACAAGTGTAAATAATAAAATGAATTTATTACCAAAAGTTAAGTACAAACATGGTTACTTTTTGACACAATCACCGTGAAGATTGAGGAATTTGTCATATCTGTGGATGAGCTTTTCCTTCCCCTTGTCAGAGAACGTTGCTGCCAGTGAATTGAGATGGCTTTAACAACATTGTTTTGAAGATCGTTAGTTCATTAGTCACAAACTTCTGCCCTGCTAGCCATGTTTTCAGTTTAGGAAAGAGGTGGAATTATTCACACATTAAAAAGTTTTAAGCTGGGTGGAAGTCTTCACCACCTTTAAACACCCAGTGTATAGCCCCGATTTAGCACTGAGCAACTTCCACCTCTTTCCTGAACAGGAAAAGTGGCTAGGAGGGCAGAGGTTCAAGACTAATGATGATCTTCAAAAAAAATGTTAGGGCCTATCTCAAGTCATTGGTGGCAACATTCTATGACAAGGGGATGGAAAAGCTTGTCCACAGATATGACAAATGCCTCAATCTTCACAGTTATTATGTTGAAAAGTAACCATGTTTGTACCTAACTTTTGGTAATAAATTAATTTTGTTATTTACACTTGTTTTTTTATGGACCATCGCAGCTTGAAAAAAAAAACAGCCCTCGTATTTTATCCATCAGCAAACTGAGATTGAGAGGAAATAATTTAATTTATACTGAATGATCATATTTTAATAAATATAATAATGTAATAATAATAAATATTAACTTAGAATTAATAAATTATAAACTTAGAAAGCATTAAATAGAAAATTTTATTGTTTATAATATCTAAGGTTGCCAGATATCAACTTTGAAAAAAAAGGACAGTGTGTATTGACATAAGCAACAATGTAATTACAGGAAAAGTAACATTTGTACAATTAATAAATGTTTTATTTAAAACTGTAAGAATATTGAATTTATAAATACAAGTTATGAATTTTTTTTACTTTTTATTAGATTTAATTTTCTTTAATAAACCAGGCTTAGTATCAAATAACTATAAAACTCCCTGCATGAATATTGCTGGAAATGGTATTGGATGATCAAAATGTTTATTAGAAAGTGTTATCGCTCATCTAACTAACATGTATACAATTCATCTTTGTTTCATCAAAGTGGAATTAAAAATATCCTTTTTTTTTTTTTTTGACAAAATAGCAAAAGATGCCTAAGAAGAGCATACAAGTAAAATTGGTCAGGTAAATTCTAGAT